TTTTCTGACAGCCCCGGTTAGTATTTTACTGGCTCGGACCCTGCTGTGCCGGGCCCAATTCCAAAATCCGTTCTCGTTTACAAAACGGAGCAAGTAGTGAAACCACCGAACCTCATCACCTCATCATCCGGACTACTAGACAATTGCTTCATCTACTTGATCTTCAAAAGACAAAGAGACTGCACAGGCACAGGCACACATATCGAAGGCTCTTCTTGGCCTTCTAGAGAGGGAGCTCTGACGTGACTGTAAAGACCAAAACGCGATCGTCCTGGTCCGAGCGAAATAAAAAAGACCTCGTCTGTATGCGTTCAATCAAATGATCCTTCGCCCGTTCTGGATAGCGATAAACAAATCTCAGAGCAACGCGTAGCCCAAATTATCGAGAACCCAGTCGATCCAAAAATAATCTACGGTACTATTTTTGCAATAATCACAAATACATAAGGCAGTCATACCTCTGATAGTGAGCCTGATTCACTATCCAGCCAAAATGTTACAAATAGTCACAGAAAATATCTGCGGTAATAAAAAGTAAATAAGAAAATGAGTGATTTGAACTACCTTTCAGATAATTTTGGATCAACAAGCAAATTCTGCACGCTTCAACAGATCAAGCAAAATAATCTTGAGCGTTATAGCCAAAACGGGTTTAATATAACCGAAAGCAACGGTTAGTTCAACAACGAGCGTCCAATTGAAACCTTTGTCGCAATAAAACAAGAAAAGGCACTAAATCTCATTTACATGTACGAGCAAAGAACCTAAAGTGTGTCCAATAGATATTCCTCATTATAAAAAAGGTGAAACAGAAGGTTCAGAATATAAAAGTCACCGACATGAAAACCACTGTCGGAAAAAAATGCACGATAGAATGGCGAAGAAAGATAAGAAAATGCAAGGTAGTTGAGAGGAATTTTCAGTCTTTTTGACTGTTTCACCGGCCACCAAAATTCGTCTGAGCGGACAATGTCGCCTCCGATAGTCTTTTGTTCTGGCTCCCCCTTCTTACTTACGCTCCCGAAACATTGGAGTTCACAGGACTTACAGTAGTACGCCTCCACACCCTCTAGCCTATCACCTGGGTGCTGGTCTGCTCCTTCTAATAGACACAGACGACGTACATCTCTTCTCACCTTGCCGCCACCTGTATGCAACACAGCCGTTCGAACTAGTCCATCTCCGTCTGTCTCCACAGCATCGATGATGCCCATGGGTCATTTGCCACGTGTTGTGGTTTCAATACGATGTCGCCTGATTTGAAATTGCGATGCTTCAAAAGTCACTTTTGTCGCACTTGCATGATTGCTATATACTCCCTCATCCATCGTCGCCAGAAGTTATTAGCAAAGTGATTGGAGTGTCTCCACCGTCTTGTGTGTATAACTCTCCATCATTTTGATACCAAGGTTTTGATCATGCTCCGTCAACGACAACAAACTGTTCGGAGACAATGTTCTTTTTTCCTATCATCCGATAAGCACGGCACTAGCGGTCGGCTTTTCAATATCCTTTCGATTTCTACAAAACAAGTTGACAACGTTTCCTCATGCATTAACTGCTCCTTTGTAAACACAAGCAGTAACCTTCGCACGGAGCGAATCATTCTCTCCCATACACCTCCCCTATGACTTGAGGAAGGAGGGTTAAAGAACCATTTTATTTCATCACATGCAAGACGGTCATTGATCTTGTGTCCATCTCAGCGTTTCATTGTATCCTTTAGTTCTGATACGGCACCCACGAAATTTGATCCGTTATCACTATGAATCTCTGAAGGTTCTCCTCATCTACCGATGAATCTCAATAGACAGAATAAACGAATCTTTATTGGGACTGCCCGCTATCTATAAGTGCACGGCCCGGGTCTGTAAACACGTAAATACGCAGCCATATTTCTTTTCCGAACCACGACCCTTGAGAACAAACATAGGTCCAAAATAATCAACTCCAACTGAGTTAAAACAGCATCAACCCTTTTGTACCCTACATAGCGGCAGGAGAGCCATCATCTGCTGGCCTGCAGAAGCTACCATTCCCCGACATACTATGCATTGACCTATTACTCGCTTCATTGTACTGATTCCCTTGACAATCCAATATTTTTCATGGATCGCTGACAAAACGTGTGACGTACCACTATGTCCTTCTCTGCTATGATAGTGGCGAACAATAAGATCAGTCAATTGTCTAGGATCACCGGATGCTTGAAATGGGATGAGTAGTTTGTGTAACTAAGTCGCCCATCTACACAAAGCAAGTCACTCATCGTAACTGGGCAAAGCTTCCTCAAAGAATGCACTATGTCTCCGTTTCGTGCTCCTTGAAGCTTTGCCCGTAATGTTGATTCACCGAATGTTTCGTTCTGCAACATTCTTAAAATCTTCCATCGAGATGCGTCGATTTCTTCGACCGTGAGGTTTCCTACGCTCAGGGTACTTTCGTTTCTCGACGAATACATAATTCTAATGTAAGAGATGCAACGAATAATCCATGGAACTGACTTCAAAAGGCTTGACCATTGAGAGTAGCGATGCAGAAGCTGTTCTAGTTTTATAGAAGAAATAGCTGTGTTCACGCGTGCTGCAATTTTCTTCATCTCCACGCCATCCGGTGGGGACGATAATGGAGATAATGCCTGTGGAACATCGCTCTGTAAGAACATCGGCCCCTCTAACCATGTTTCTAGTTCTCTTCTTGTTGATATACCTCTCGAAGTGAGGTCAGCGATATTTTGTTTGGACCGGATGTGACGCCATTGGGGCACCGTGGAGTACTGATGAATGATTGCTAACCGATTGGCAACGAATATACTTAAACGTGTTGAAGTATTTTCTATATAATATTTGATAATCATTGAATCCGTCCAGTACCACACCTCGCTGAACATCTCCGATAGAGCCCTTTTCATCAACTCTCCTTTCTTGATTCCGAGGACTGCCACAGACAGTTCCAGTCGCGGTATGGTTACGGGTTTGATAGTGCTACTCGAGACTTACTGAACAGCAAAACACTGTAAGCCGGTTTTCTTGCTGGAACGCACCACGCGTAGGCGACGGCCCCATAGCCTGTCTCGGATGCAACACAGAAAACATGCAACTATGTTCTCCCCCCTTCTCCCCAATCTTCGTTTCTCATACTTATCGGGATCTTAATCACTTCCAGACACCTAACATAGCGTACCCAGCTTTCCCAAATACTGGAATCTACCGCATTGAGAGGTTGGTCCCAACCCATTTTGGATTTACACAAGGTTTGCAGCAACTGCTTTTCTGGGAGGCATAGAGAAGCTACGAGACCTAGCGGGTCAAACCACGAACTGACGCTGAATAATATACCTCTTCTTGTCACCGGCTTATCTAGTAGCTGGAACTGGAACGTAAAAACATCTCGTGTTTTGTCCCACTGCACGCCCAAAGCTCTCTGACAACTGGGATCAAATTGAGGCAGTTGAACCAGGCTGGTACTGGTGCTGTTTTCCGAGAGGGAGTCTGCAAGTTCGGGTGCGGTAGATGACCACCTTCTCAGTTTAAAACCACCTCTTCCCAATAGTTAGGTTATTTCCTTCGCAAAACGTCAGGCCTCATTGCATGTCGTAAATGGTGCAAGACAGTCATCAACGTAAAGTTTTCTTCTATGGCTTTTAGCACCGCACGCCCATAACCACTACCGAATTCTCTTGCAGCCCTGTTCAAGACAAAATTAGCACAAAACAGGGAAGAAGTTGCACCAAACGGGTGGGCTGTCATTTGATATTCCTCGGGATCCTTGAGTGGGTAACCCTGTGGCCACCAGAGAAATCTCAGAGCGCCTCTATCATGTTTTGGCATATCCACTTGCACAAACATCTCTTCTATGTCAGCTGTAACAGCTACACGTTCCTTACGAAATCGCAAAAGTACATCCACTAAATTCGCGGTGGTGTCTTGATCTTGATAGAGCATGTCATTTAACGATTGCCCCTTGTGTTTTGCCGCACAATCCAAAACTATACGTAGTTTTTCCGTCTTTATGCGTTTAGTACTGCATGATGAGGAAGGTACCAACGCGGATGAAAGTCGCATTGTAACTGTGCCCCTGGGACTGGCACGGCATTTCCCTTCTCTATGGTCATCTTCATCGTTTGTGCGTAGCGGAACCGAAGTGACTCGTCATTAATCAAGCGCCGCTTCAGGCCGTTCAACCTCAAGAGCGCTGACGCATAGTTTCCCGGAGTTGACACCCTTCTTCCATGGCAGAGGGACCACAAAGTGCCCACCGACGAACGTTGTACCGGACTCTACAATGGCGATAGCCTTCGTATCGTCTACGGAAACGCCTAGATTTAATAACTGGGCGTCTGTAAATTCTGCATCGTACATTTGCATTACCTGATGCATTACAAAAAAACAAAGATATTATAATTATAAAAGTAATAGAAGGTCTACTGCACGCCGCGCACGAAAAGCCCACCACGCTCTCATACATTGTATACC